CTAAGTCTGTTAAAACAATGGGGCGGTGTGTGCCTGTGTTCATGTGGCTTAACTCCTGGCTACATTAGCCGTTAGCTTGGAGAAAACGGTCCCTATGAAAGTGATTCAGTGATTCAGTTCAGTACGTTCACTCAATAGATTTGTTCTTTTGAACGATTCGTTCGCAAACGACACAACACTAGAAGGGCATGAAAGCACCTGGGCAATCAATGGCGTGACACACACAGGCCTGAATGTGATTGACCAGCAACATGTTAAGATGCTGGATAATTAATGACAATCATACAGAATAACGTTACTATCTGTAATGTCCATATATTTCATTTGGAACTTCGGCTCCATAATGCTAACTAGCTTGATGTTTGCAAACAACTTTATAAGCTAATGTTACAAAGCAACTAATAGCAGATTCATTCAGCGTAAGTTTACAGCTAGCTGGCTAACATTAGCTTAGGTTACAGTTAACAAAATGGCTGCCCTTGCTGTACAAGGCTTTTGCCTGGTAGCAAGCAATCATCAGTTATACACCTTGTAGAGTTACCTCATTTTTGTACAGTAGGGTTAAGTAGAGACGCATTGTCCATCCTTATATACAGTCTATGCTACAGCCCTAACTGAAGGTCTGTCTCCAATCCACAGCTGCAAAATGTATGTAACTCTGTGTTGTGGTGGGTGCCCGTCATGTGTTGACATTTGCCAACTCTATTTCTAAGCTAATGTTAGCCCATGTTGGCTCAGTAGTCAAGTTGAAGTGTGGCACTCAGAAGCCCTGATAAAAGTCACTTTCAGATATTTCGTCCCAAGTCTTTACATAGAAATCAGTCCACAGGCTGTTACAGGCAACCGAGAAAGTTGGGCAAGGTCTCACAGTTCTTTAGTTTCATTACCATCAATTAACCAATTTGCAATAAAAAATGATTAATAGGCCCTACAGGCAAAAACTTAATCACAGAAACTTTATAATGGAGTATGATTGACAATAACCAGGAGGTCAAATGTCAAATGAAGGATGATTTAGTCTTGAAATAAAGCCTGACCTCCTCAAGTCTAAAAATAATGAACATCATACCACTTAAAAATGACATTAGAGAGAGTGCAGCTACTGAACATCATTATGACTTAGCAAGGTTGCCACAAAACTCAACCACTTTTTGAATCATGATAAGACAACCAGTAAAGTGACACACACTGCATTTTTGCAAATCATCTTTTTAACGAGTAAACAATAATCAAACATTCAGCAGGTTATTTGGTTAAATTCTCTGTATAATACACTATGGTAAAAGCATCCAAAACCACTGCAAAACAAAGTTTCAAACTATGATTTTTTTTTATATACACATCCACTGAAGTCAAGATAAGAGATAGTGACATAACATACTGTGGAATATTTCAAGCTTTACAAAATTAATTCATGTGTGCAAATCGAGTGGGTGGCTGGACGAAAGCCCTCAGAAGGCACATAATAAAGATCCTATTCTAGGGAGACAGTTAAGAGAGTGGAGGTTGTTGCATTGCCTCGGCAATAACCTGAAACTTATTAGATTCAGATAAGAGCAACTGCACTGTTACAAAATGAACACTGCCAGCTCTCTCAAGTGTTGCTTTTGGCTCAGATTATCTACCACATCAAAGGCCCTGTTCCTCTAAGTGAGAGCTTAATAAGGCCTGAGTGACAATAATAAATGTGTAGGAACAACAGGTTTCATGTGGTGTTACCATGAACCTTTGAGTAACAAGGCTGGTGTGTTTTAATAGTTATTTCACTTGACTGTGGAGGCAGGGATGTAGAAGATGGTCTGTGACTCACACAGAGAAAAGACTTGATTTGACTGCAACATGTAGCAGTGAATGTTGGTGCAGTGTTTCTTAATACATTTAATATACAATACACATGAAATGAAATTTAAAGGGAAATTTCGGTTTATTTCAACCTGTCTCCTATTGTCCTAAATTTGTTTCAAGTGACTAGTGACGAAAAATAATAGTTAGCATGTTAGCCGTTAGCCTAGATATAGCCGGGGCGCATAGTAGCGTCAGACCTGTTAAAACATAAGTGAATGGGCATCCTTTCCAGTGCAAAGTTAGTCCACTAAACAAGCTTTTTTCCCACAAAGACCGCCTCATATCGTTAGGATAAATGTCAGAGAACATATAGAAAACGACATGTAAATGTGTTGTCTTATCTTACCGGTGTGCTGCCATGTTTGTTTACCATCTAGCTCTGCTTTCCAAAGCATGGCCGAAATATATCTCGCCAGCTTTAGATAAAGCCCAGCTGGATACTACTCCAGGTGGAGGTGTCTCGTCCTCGGTCACATCCAGAGCTTGAAAATAAGGCTGCAACCGGTCCCATTCCTTGCAACAGAGGCATTCCTCTTCTGTGGGCACTGGGGCACAGCATTCACAGGTACACCACCAATCTCCAGAGCTACGCAGCCTTGCAGCAGCCATTCCTCCTCTCTCGTCCTCTACCTGTTGCGCCTCTCTCTCTCTCCTCCGTTCTTCAATTTCACGAAGCTCTTCGTCAGTGTATTCTGGCTCAAATAAATAAGGGTGGCCATCAAACTCTGCAAAATCAAATTCCTCCTCCACAAAGTCGAAGTCTGGCAAAAAGTCAGCCATTATTCTATAAATCTTTCATAACATAAATGAATGAACTTTTCAGGCTACCGTCCAGTTCTGCCTTCCAGCTGTTGCTGCTTGTTCTCGCGATATTTTGGCAGCGCTTTGGAAAGCAGAGTTAAATGGTAAACAAACATGGCAGCACACCGGTAAGGTAAGACAACACGTTTACATGTCGTTTTCTATATGTTCTCTGACATTTATCCTAACGATATGAGGCGGTCTTTATGGGAAAAAAGCTTGTTTAGTGGACTAACTTTGCATTTGAAGTATGCCCGTTCACTTATGTTTTAACAGGTCTGACGCTATCTGACGCTACGGCTGTATCTAGGCTAACGGCTAACATGCTAACTATTATTTTTATGTCACTAGTCACTTGAAACAAATTTAGGACGATAGGAGACAGGTTGAAATAAACCGAAATTTCCCTTTAATACTTCATCATACTGGTCAAAGAATGACTGAAAACCAGTTGGGACAAAATACAAGTTTACTAAAACCGACACCGGCCCATTTTGATTCAGGCCCTGCAGACAATTGCACTTTTAGTTTTTAGATGCATAACATCTCCAAACAGCCTGCAATCAAATACGAAACAATCAGCAGGCAAGACAATATATTCAAGACCTTTGTACATTAAATTCAAGACTTTTTAATGCCTTATAAGGCCTTTTAAAGACATTTCACAATACTTTGTTCTTTAGGCCAGATGCCTGCACTTTAGAGGGAACTTTCAAATAATGAAGACAGAAAATTTTATATCACTGATAAATTGAAGGGCATAATAAAAAAAAAAGTGTCGATGGAGGCATGTAGCTGTTTTTCTTGAGAGATCACTGTTTCTGTGTGCAAATGTGTAATCTGTAAATATAAAACAACATCTACTCCAATACAAAAAAGGTTTGTAAATACACAAAAATATTATTAAAATAAAATAAATAAATAAAAATAAAATCAGTGTGCATTAAATACAAATCCTCCAGCATAGGACTGAGATTCACAAATAAAAACTGGATTCACATATGCCTGTTTGAAAGTTGTTAATGTTAGGAAGATATTCCAAAATGCTTTTCAATTATTTGTAAATTAATTAAATATATTCACAGTTTTGTTTTGTTTTTGTAATTCATAGAACGCGTTTATTTGCATTTTATATGTGTCGAATACTTTTGTAAATTGACAAATCTTTTTTTGTATTTGTGAAAGGTGCTTTAAATTTACAGACTACACATAAACACACAGATTGTCGATCTGTTCACACAACTAATACTGAAACAAATCTCTGTTTATACATATAAATTATTAATATCACAAGCACAAATTTTTGGCAGCCTACTAGAATAAAAAAATGAATTGCTTTTTATAGACCACTAGATACAGTTTGCTGCGATAGAAACTACTGAAGTGAGATGAACGTACTGAAAACTTTTATCTCAATAGATAAAACAGATGTTAAAACAGTTAATAAATAGCAATTTATGTTATCACAACACCCAGCGTATTGCAACATGTTTAAAATTGCAATAACATTGTATTGTGGCATAGGTATCGTGATAATATCGTATTGCAGGGGTGACTCCCAACCCTTAAAGACAGTATGAGGAAAATGTGTTTTGAACACTAAAGCATGTAAACATGTTCTGGTAGAAATTAAAGTATAAACACAACGAGTACAACAATGTATAACTTGACCTTGAAAACTTGAGGTTCACCCAACCTGCAGAAAGTGTTTCTCAGCTGGGAAGTTTTTACGGTAAAACAGCTGCAGGAAACTGTTGAGTTTGCTTTGTAAATAGATTAATGTGGTGCCTTTTATAACAGCTCTGATGGCACAACAAAGGAGAGTGATCGTTAAACAGTGGGGTTCCTATACGTTAGATGCAGGGAGCAAGTAAAACAAACCTCCAGCAACAAAACAGCAGTGAAACCTACATTAAGCAGGTGCTACAAAACTACTAAATGTGACGTGAGGAGAGTTTGGCTGAGCTGCTCGAGTCATGGTCGTGCTCCCAAGCAAGGCTAAACATTCAGGGAAGCAACGGCTGCATATGTGCAATGGAAATCTTGACAGTACTGCATGACACTGCATGACCACAGTGTATTTTAAGTGAAGTGGTGTTAGGTCCTCACAACAGTAGGGAAAGCTATTCAAGCTGCAGAACTGATGAGTTGGTTTGGATCTATTTTAAGCAGAAAACAGGTTTTCAGGGGTCTTCAGCAGTCATACATTACTCTTTAAGAACCAAAATACATTTCAGCTTCTGAGCCGCATGTTCCTACTTCCTAAAATACACCCACAGAACTAGTGAACACCTTGTGTGCGCTGACAGGCAGATGTGTCATTGTTTGTGGCTGGCATCAGAAGACACACTCACCACTGCTGCGACTCTTGCGGTTGGCCTTCCCTCCCGTCAGCAACATCTTCAAGCTGTTCCTAAACATGACTGCAGCAGATGCCCTGGACTAGACTACAGAGAAATCTGTTGGGGAAAGAAGAGACAATAAATATGAATATTTCTAGGAGCGCTTGCAGTATGACCAACTGTCGGCTGTGAGATCTAACTGGCATTGTTGACGACAGAATTCAGTAGTTAAAGGCGTTATTAGAGATATCATAGCAACACAACAAAATCAGGCAGAGCACAAGAAAGTACATGTGCTTTTATTGCTTCTCTCAACCAAACTTCCTTTTTATCAATAGTTATTAACTGGGTTATTTATCCAGTATTTATATATATATTTATATTTATATATTTAGATCATCAACCCAAGAATCTCCCATCAAAATATGATCTGGATTGTGACATAAAATTGTAAGAGGGGGTAAACCAATTCTTGGTCTCTGTATGCAAACTGATATAAAGCTATGATATGGAACGGTATTGAACAAGCTATGAATGTAATTGTATTGTGCTGTTTAACAAGTATTGGCTCAAAACAGTCGTGCCAATACCTGCATAAAAATATCCCAGTGCTATGAGAGCTAGGCTTGGATGGTATCTATTTATTCATACCTTCCTGATATTTCAGTGAGGTATAAAGTTTATGATGGTTTTTATATAGAATAAAACAAAAACACAAATACAAACAAACTAGTCCACACCCATTGGTAGCTTTGTCACCTTCTACCTATGCCAGTCCTCAATGCCTATGTGAAGTTTCACATAGATTGACCACGTCAGTGAGTAGAAAAACATGGGACAGACAGAATGACACACTGACAGTTTCCGTGATTATGTACAGCATACCATGCCATGACTTAGTCATACCAAAAATTAGAAAAACAAACAAACATTGGTCCACAGGGGGAGCCACAGCGATCGGTCGCATTTTAGCCATTTTGAAGCATTTTTCTGTTGTTATAGCGCCACCCAGTTGCCAATTAGAGTTAAATTTCTCCAGTCACCTTGAGGCGTCCTGTTCTACATATCTACCAAGTTTAGTAAAAATCCATATGGCGGTTAGGCCTAGATAAGAAATGAGCTCTCTAGCGCCCCCATTTTGTTTGATGGGGTCAATAATGGAGGGGTCTCCTCAGATTATGTGTGGTCATATGCCTACAAAGTTGCGTGGTGATGGGTGAAACCCTTGAGATGTTATACACCTTTATGTGATGAGCCACGCCCTCCGCAATATTCATTGCCTTATAGAAGCTCAGTTTTAGTAAGTTTTCCAACTTTTGCCAAGAGGGAACTTTAGATATTGGTCCCTAGATTATGTTCACCCAGTTTCATGCAGATCGCTCAAACTTCCTAGGAAGACATCGATTTTAAGTGTTTTTAAAAAAAATTTAAAATGGCGTAAAATCTATATAACCGGAAGTTATGGGTTCTTGAGGCAAATTTGTTCCTCATGAGGAGAGGCATCTCTGTGCAAAGTTTCATGTCTCTACAACATACGGGGCATGAGATATGCCCATTCAAAGTTTGCAATTTCAATCGGTTGCTATAGCGCCCCTCTTTGGCCAATTGATGCAATATTGCTTTATTCACATCCTCCCATGACCCTCTACCACTGTGCCAAATTTCACATGGATTGACCAAGTCAGCGAGGAGAAAAACGTGGAACAGACACACACACAGAGTTTTCGTCGTTACATAGTAAGACAAGCAAACAAAAAACGTTAAGGCTAAACTACTGGTGACAGAGGTCACTGTACCATGTATGTCACTGTCTAGCCCAGGAGTCAGCAACTTTTACTACCAGAAGAGCCATTTTTGTCTGAAAAAATTAATTAAATCTGTCTGGAGCCGCAAAATATATTTGAGCCTGATAATAAAGGTGACACGGCCTTATTAAGTCTAAATTAGCTTATCAACATTACCAATAGATCTAGAGCAAGAAAAAACTTGCTTCATCTTTAAAAGGTCAAGGTTGTGTCTAATATATACCACATAGAACAGAAGTTTGGCACAGGTAATACAAACAATGTGCTGTGCAGTATCGTAAAAGTACAGACAGTGGAAGTTACAATGCCAACAGATAAGCACACCTTAAACCACAACAACACTGTCTTCGTTTCTTGCCTGCACCTTCCTCTATCTCACTAATTCCTTTCCACAGCCTCCCCACCCTCCGACCCCTCTCCCTGCCCCACACAGGCCCACATCTGTCTGCTGTGAGTAGTAAAAAGCATGGTAGCAGATGCTGTCCATTAGGTGGGAGTGACTCAGCAAAGCCCCACAGACAAACTCCAGCTGAGGAGCCGGCTCTGGACCCAAACAATTAAAAAAAAACAGAAAAACCTCAAAGAGGAGGACACGAAAAAGCTCTCAAAAAGCGCCCCTTTCCTCCCCCAACCCTGCTTAACTAATGTTTTTCACAATCCCCCCCTGACCTTGAGAGGGGGTCTAAAAGGCTTCCAGGATCATAATACTACACACACTGTGAGGAACACTGGGGAAACAGGAATAACAATAAGGCAGCACATGATATTATAGTCAGGTGGGATAAAACTGAACCTTACCACATCTATCTTTGACTTCACAGATTCATGTATTAGTTTTTATCTTTAAGAGTGTTTTAAGGAAGAATTATCTCTTTTAAATTTAAACCTGAATTCTGGAGATATTCTTTCTGTGTGACAGTGTAATCTGTAAATACAATGTACAAACTATGATAACTTAAGAGAGTTAATATTCCATGAAATGGCTCGTCTAAAACCTGACATTTTCTGGTCCTCAGATGATTAAAAGCTAGAATGGTTGTTTCATTTTCATGTGTGTACATTTGCTTATTTGCTGCAAAAGCCTGGAAAACAAGGCAAAACATATTGTTTAATTTGTGCTTATTTTGATTTTCAGTGCGATACAGCAAATGTCTTGGCGAGTCTCACACAGTGATGATCTGATTATGTAGGATGCCACTGTCACTTTGCTCCATTTTCTGTCTTCATGTTGCCTGAAAATACGCACGTTGGACTCTGGTCCTGGCTTGTTTTGAATTTATGGTGTCTTATAAGCCCATGCTGGCTGGGCATTACTGTCTGCATGACACAGTAATAAAGAACTCATTCATTCATATAAAACACCTTCCACAAGTCCAAAAACCAAGGATTCATAAAGTCACAAAAATATTCCAAATGTAAAATGGATCTCCAATGTGAAATGGATCGGCAGTACTGTGGTGCAGTGGTTAGCATTGTCACCTCGTAGCAAGAGGGTTCCTGGTTCAAACCCAGGGTGGGGGAGCCTTTCTGTGCAGAGTTTGCATGTTCTCCCTGTGTCAGCTTGGGTTTTATCCAGGTACTCCGGCTTCCTCCCACAGTCCAAAGACATGCAGGTTAATTGGTTACTCTAAGGCTGTGTTTACACGAAAACGATCCACTGAAAACAGAATCGTTTCTCATTTTTGTTTTGAAAAAAGTTCTGCGTTTAGACGACAACGTTTTGATAACAATCGCCGTGCACACGGATCCACAAAAATGACCAAGAATGCTGCAGTATACATGCCAGGCCAGTAGTTGGCAGCGTGACGCTTATGCTTCCCTCTACAGAGCGGCAATGTATAAACAAACAAAATGGCAACCGCACGAACATTTGTCTGGACGGACGACGAGGTGGAGTTGCTACAGTAAATCTACACTGATTGGGAAGCGTTGATAAATTCAATAGGGTGAGCAGCACAAGCAGAGCTCGGGAGTCCGCCATTGTTGTTGTGATGGTTGACTTTCTTGCGCATGCCTAGTGACTGGAAGCGTAATGCGCATGTGCAAAAAGTCTCCTTTTTCAAAGGAACCGCATATTGCAAGTTTACATGACAACGGAGACGGTGCCGTTTCCAAAAAATTGCAATCTGGAACCCGTTTTCAGAACTTTGCATTTTCAGGCACCCAAAACGCCGCTGTCGTGTAAATGATCAGCCAAAAAGCAACTAAAGTTTACCGTTTTCAGTTGAAATTGTTGTCGTATAAACGGGACCTAAATTGTCCGTAGGTGTGAATGTGAGTGTGAATGGTTGTCTCTCTATGTGTCAGCCCTGTGATAGTCTGGTGACCTGTCCAGGGTGAACCCTGCCTCTCGCCCAATGTCAGCTGGGATAGGCTCCAGCCACCCCGCGACGGACAGGTTTTTTCGGAAAAAGAATGAATGAATCTCAAGATACACAAAATATTCTACCAGTTAAAGAATTATCTGTTACCTAAACATGCGTTTATGAATCGGGGTTGGTGGGTGGGAGGGGCATTAAAAGACTAAAAAGCATCTGTAGATCTCAATTCTCCACAAATGCATTTCAGATTCACAAACAAAAATGCATTTGCAGATTTGTTTTATATTTAAAAATATTTTTGGGGATTTTTCTGAAAGGTGTTTTTATTTAAAGACTGCACATTCACACAATCTGTTGACACACAAATAATACTGACACAAATCATTCTCCATACAAAATGGAGATTAGACGACACTCTTGTCTGTAACGCAGGTGCAGGTTACCCTAAATTCTGATGAGGCTGAATCTTCGACTCCCCCAATACCTCAAGCCTATAGACAATAATCTTTAAAATCATATTTGTGCTTCCATCAGACTGTGCGTCTGGCGGTTCTTTTGTAGAGTGAAGTTGTCCACAGTAAGTCTCAACAAGATTGCAGTCCTGGCAGTTGCCAATTTGGAGTTCAGCTCAAGTGTGATGGAAAAGAGAAAGAACTGAAAGGGAAGTCAATTCGAACAACAACAACACATACACCAGGTGGAAATTGAGGGGGGAGCTACTGTAGCTGCCAAAAAATGAGACCAGACAGCCCCAGACCCTCAAATCACTTCAGATGGCTTTTTGGAGAGGACTCCAGCTGTGTTTGTTGTTTTCAAAGAAGCTGAGTGGTGATACTCTAACCATTTTTTCATCAGTGACCATCCAGATTTCTTTTTTCAATATGCAAGTATTCTTTTTTGTGTGTAGAGTGCAGCAGTCCACACCTTCCCAACACCAAGAGCAGAATTCACTCGCTGGTCATTGTGTTCAATTAGAGTCATAAATGATTGC